AAGGATATTGTAGAACTGGGGAAGATTCCCCCAAAGGACAACCAAAATGATGGAGCGGAACGAATTAAGTACTTAACCCGAGGTACCACTGTACTGCTGGAACATGGACATCAAATGAAGCTGATTGTTGGACGATTTGGGACAGACAAGAGTCAGTATTTACACATTCCAGAGTTGAACTGTGGAATTTGCTCCCACAAAATATAGTGATTGCTACCAACAGTGTCAAATGAGGACTAGGTAAATTTATGGAGGGTAAAGCTATCAATGACTTAATCACAATAGCTATGTAACCTCCAGCGCCAGAGACAGTGTGCCTCTCTGGGAATTATTACTATTACTATTTAATTGCTATACCACTTAATATATAAATATATATATATCTAAAAGGTGTACAAAAAACTGAAGCATCAATGGACAACAAAAACAAAAACAAAATACAAACACACAATTACATATACAAATTACATTAATGCAATGTTATTAATCGATATAAATCAATATAATTTCATTTTCCTTCTGACCTACCCTCGCCACCTCCAGGATCTTGTCCAGGCTCCAAACAAACTCTCAGCTCACCCATTAAAAGTCTCACAACAAGAAGAGTTCATCGAGACATCACCCTGGTCTCTCACTCTAGACTTGCTTTTTATGGTTTCCCTCCCGTATGGATTTTTTTGTACGTGAGGTCAGACTGGTCTTATGATTGAAGCTCGTTCCACATTCTAAGCATTCGAATGGTTTTTCAACCCTGTGTGAATTATTTCATGTGGGGTGAGATGTGCCTTGCTAATGAAGCTCTTTCCACAATCCGAGTACTGATATGATTTCTCCCCTGTCTGAACGGATCATGAAGCCTGGGCTGAAACTGAACCATATGTGGGGAGAATGTTGTTGCTCTGAGGTCCACCTTGCAGGCTTCCCACATGCATCTGGTTGGTCCCTGGGAGAAGATGCTACTGGACTAGTTGAGCCTTTGGTCTCACCTGGGCTGCTTATGTTCTAAGGCAACTTTCTCTGTTTCAAGGGGAGACTGACCTCCAGCGGCTGATACTGAGGACAGAAAATGAAGGTGGAAGGAAGGGTTCACTGGCCCAGCTGAAATCTTTCGGGCCGCGCTCCTCAAACAATTAAGCTCGAAAGGCTCTCTGTGTGTACTACCTGGACTTTGAATCAGCTTCTACTCACCACAGAACAGAAGGGGCTTCAATCCGGTGGAGATTTTGGCAACCGGATTTGGAGGAAGACAACTATTTTAGCCAATTCCCTCATTCCCATAAAATCCTCCGTTCCAACTCCCCTAGCCCTGCTGAGCAGATTTTTAGGTGGCTGCCACAAGAAAGGGAAACATGTGAAAATCACCTCTCCCTTTTGTTTGTGCCCACCCCGTGATAGATATTTACAGACAAACAGAAGTGTGTGATTTTATTGCATTTTATTGTTCAGAGTTTCCTTAGGTCATGATCCTTATTTTCAAGGGTGGAAAGCTGTGGAAACACCTGGAGGACCTGGCTGAAGGGAAATGCTTCCCCTTTCAGTTTGAGGATGGTTATTTCCTTGAGCACATCATATTAGATAAAGTGTTGCTTGGCAACATGAAACATCAGAGAGACATTCAGCTCATATCTGGTAGTATATTTCAATCACTTAATCTGCATAGGAGAGTCAAGTACTGATGAAAAGAATGGATGATAAAAATAGGTGTAAAGACGCTCTGCTTCCACCCCACTCTTAAATTATCTCCTTCAAGCAAGCTCCACTTATTCCAGATAGCATCTGGAATTGCAAGGCCTAAATCAGGTAGGATTTCTTTTTCAAACAGCATGGATTTATCTAGCACAGAAATGAAAAATGCCACTGTAAGAATAACTGGGGTGAGCATTCACCCTGAAGTCAGATTATACAGCGGCTAGCTATATTACATGAAAAACAGGTCACAAACCTGTCCATTCCACTTGTCGATAACTTTATAAACGTGATCAGGTAGTAGGTGGAGATGGGACACAATGTACAGAAGACCTTACCTTGAGAAAGGGAATCTTGCAGAAATGGAATGGAACAGATCACTCACATTTAAAGTTAATCCTGCAAGAATCAAAGCTACCATCGGGCGGTGCTGTTGAAATTTAGAAAAACTTTAAATGAAAGAGCAATATCTAGCAATTAATTCTGGGGTGCTGTGCTGTTGCCTGATATACAATAAATACACAGCATACTGAAGCCCGAAATGCCATAGATCTCTAGCTATGGGTCATATTGATAATTTCCCTGATATCTGAGAGGATCGGGCAATCCTAGTTCCAAATATCAGTGGCAAGTTTCTTTGTTTCCCGTTGCTGGACACTGGTTTATTCTAAAATGTATGATCATAGAAGTTACTCTGTGTTTTCTATAGTCAATTGTTTATTAAACATTCCAAAGGGAAACTTGTCATTTCCATAAATTTGGAGACTGGTTCGAACACAGTGTTTTTTCCACCATGAGAATGATTTCCTGGCGTTCTGGTTCCGGACTGCCTTAATGGAGACAGCTCCCATGACAGCGGGAGATCGTTGGTGAAGGAAAAACAAGGATGATTGAAGGTAATTATCCTTGCAAATTCCCCCTAGGGACAGTTTGTCTTAATACCTGGCTTTCGCTCTGGCATGGAATGGGGAGGGCAGTGGGGAGGCACTGAATAACGCTAAAAGGACTTGGAATTTGATGATGATGATGATGATGATGATAATAATAATAATAATAATAATAATAATAATTTATTTGTACCCCGCCCATCTCTGGGCGGCTTCCAACAAAGATGAAAAATACACAAAAATGTCACATATTAAAAACTTCCCTGAACAGGGCTGCCTTCAGATGTCTTCTGAATGTCAGGTAGTTGTTTATCGCTTTGACATCTGATGGGAGGGCGTTCCACAGGGCGGGCGCCACTACCGAGAAGGCCCTCTGCCTGCTTCCCTGTAACTTGGCCTCTCGCAGTGAGGGAACCGCCAGAAGGCCCTCGGAACTGGACCTCAGTGTCCGAGCAGAACGATGGGGGAGGAGACGCTCCTTCAGATATACTGGACCGAGGCCGTTTAGGGCTTTAAAGGTCAGCACCAACACTTTGAATTGTGCTCGGAAACGTACTGGGAGCCAATGTAGGTCTTTCAAGACCGGTGTTATATGGTCTTGGCGGCCGCTCCCAGTCACCAGTCTAGCTGCCGCATTCTGGATTAGTTGTAGTTTCCGGGTCACCTTCAAAGGTAGCCCCACGTAGAGCGCATTGCAGTAGTCCAAGCGGGAGATAACCAGAGCATGCACCACTCTGGCGAGACAGTCCGCAGGCAGATAGGGTCTCAGCCTACGTACCAGATGGAGCTGGTAAACAGCTGCCCTGGATACAGATTTGACCTGTGCCTCCATGGACAGCTGTGAGTCCAAAATGACTCCCAGGCTGCACACCTGGTCCTTCAGGGGCACAGTTACCCCATTCAGGACCAGAGAATCCTCCACACCTGCCCGCCTCCTGTCCCCCAAAAACAGTACTTCTGTCTTGTCAGGATTCAACCTCAATCTGTTAGCCGCCATCCATCCTCCAACCGCCTCCAGACATTCACACAGGACCTTCACCGCCTTCACTGGTTCTGACTTAAAAGAGAGGTAGAGCTGGGTATCATCCGCATACTGATGAACACCCAGCCCAAACCTCCTAATGATCTCTCCCAGTGGCTGCATGTAAATGTTGAAAAGCATGGGGGAGAGGACAGAACCCTGAGGCACCCCACAAGTGAGAGCCCAGGGGTCTGAACACTCATCCCCCACCACCACTTTCTGAACACGACCCAGGAGGAAGGAGCGGAACCACTGTATGACAGTGCCCCCAGCTCCCAGCCCCTCAAGACGGTCCAGAAGGATGTTATGGTCGATGGTATCAAACGCCGCTGAGAGATCCAGCAGAACTAGGAAACAGCTCTCACCTTTGTCCCTAGCCCGCCGGAGATCATCAACCAGTGCGACCAAGGCAGTTTCAGTCCCATGATGAGGTCTGAATCCCGACTGGAAGGGATCCAAATGGTCCGCTTCTTCCAGGCGTGCCTGGAGTTGTTCAGCAACCACTCGCTCAATCACCTTGCCCAAGAATGGAAGATTTGAGACTGGGCAATAATTGGCCATCGTGGCCGCATCTAAAGATGGTTTTTTAAGAAGCAGTTTAATAACCGCCTCTTTCAGCGGGTCTGGGAAGGCTCCCTCACGGAGGGAAGCATTCACCACCCCACAAAGCCCATCGCCCAGTCCTTTCCGGCTAGCTTTTATAAGCCAGGATGGGCAAGGATCCAGGAGACAGGTGGTTGGCTTCACTCATCCAAGCAGCCTGTCCACATCCTCGGAGATTTAATTGGAAGTATATTTGCTCAGTTCAGTTGGACGGAAGCATGAAAGAAGTCTGTGAACTAGCTAAGGAACTAATAAGGTTCATTAATGAGTCATCTGCAGTTTGACAGACCACTCTTCTTCCCTGACTGAGAGTAAAAACAGGTTATTTATTGGGACAGAGTGACTTTTGCTGCTGTTGTTAAAGTTGCAAAACAATGAAGCATGGAACAGAGTGAGGGAGAAATTTCTGGAACAACATTATCAGCTCCGCCCAAGGCATGATGGATAAAGCAAAAACCGGGGAAAAGAGACATAATATTTTACCAGGACAAGAAGAGACACCATGGACAGAATAATTGCCACACATAGGAAGAACAAGGTTATAGTCTGAGTGCCTCACTTGTAGCTTTATAAATCATTTAATGTGTCAACATTAATTGCAGTTGTTGCATAATGCGGTAATTATTATGACGGGAATGTAATTGAAATTAGTATGATTTTGGAACGCAGAAATAAAGAAAACCAACAACCATCAACTCTAGCACGGGGCGGGGGGGACACTTTATATAAATTATATAGTTCAGTAGTTGAACGATTTGTAATTGTATTATAAATTGGTATTGTTATAATGAGGCTATTATTGGATTGTAATTGAAAACTAATAAAAATATTATTAAAAAATAAGAAAGAGAATTATTTCCGGTGGCAGAATATACATTAAAATATATCAAAATGAAAATTCACTTAGATCCTGAGTAGCATTCTCTCTCTCTCTCTCTCTCATTCTCTCTCTCTCTCTCTCTCTCTCTCTTTCTCTTTCGTGTGTGTATTCATGTATTCCTACATACCTATAGATATTTTCTGTCAAATCCACCTCAATTTTAAATCTGACATAATCATAACAACATGGTGTGTTTAGAATGTGGTTTTCACATTAGAGAGGAGGAATGAGGAAATAATGTTATGAAATAGACTTTGGATTAGCCTCTACTCATCATCATTTATAAATGCTTTTCTGGGCTGTGTATATACAATATTTTTAAAGCATATTCAAAGCACATTCTTTCCCTCAAAGTATTCTGAGCACTGTTAGTTTCTACTCATAGAGTTCCAATTCCCAGCCACACTTAACAAACTACAGTGCCCAGAATTCTTTGAGGGGGGAATGCACTTTAAATGTGCTCATTTCCTGTCATCTGCAGACCAGTCGATAGACTCTGGTGTAGGGCTGTAGCTCACTGATAAAGTACCTGCTTTTCATTCAGAAGGTCCCAGGTTCAAACTCAGGTATCTCTAGGGAGGGCTAGGAAAGACCCCTGTCTTCAGGGCACTTCCAGACTGTCACATTTTATTGCATGGGGTTCAGTCAACCACCGGCAAATTCAGATTGTGAGATTATAGTTGATTGGGATGTCTTGTGTAACAAACCTGTTTCCCCCAAAGGCTGGACTTTTTGCAATAAAGGAAGTGCCAGGAAAATGCACTGGAAATGCATTGTGGGGTGACACCTGCTTTGATGCAACATCATCTAACATCCCCAGGAACAAATCAGAACAAACACTCATCAAATAGCCAGCGTTATCTAAGCGCCCTGCAAATCAATCAGGATGAATGCTCAAGAAACAGGTTATCTGGTAGTGCCCTAAAGCACTGGGAGAACACATGCTAGCTGGTGTCAGCATTGCTGAGCAAGATGCACTAGAGGTCTGATTCGGTAGGCTCCTAGTTCAGCACATATGTTATAACAATGAAAATGCCAGATGAACCTCCTTAAAGAGGGATTTTCCAGAGACAGGGTGCCAGCCACCACAGGGACTTCCAGTTGTCTAGCAGACAGGAGACCAGAGAACCCAGAGAAGGGAACTGCGATTGAATCTTACAGCAAAGTTTTGTTTTAAAAATGAAAAGAATAATTAAACGAAGAGAAATCAATTGAGTAAAGGTCCTTGAGCTTCTGCACTTGGTCCTTACTCAGTTTGCTGAAGTAGTTCAGAGTGATATTGCTGTTGGTCCTCTTCTCTGTACCGTACCTCTTAAAATCTGGATACTGGAGATCGTCTGGTGCTCCAATTCTCCTGAGAACATGGTCAGCATCTTCTCCCAGTGTCTCGTACTTCCCCAAAATGTCATAGTGAATGTTGCAGGGATCACAGAGCATAAACATTGGCTTCCAGTGTATGTCCAAATCCTTGGGGGCATGTTTCAAAACAAAGTTTACAAATTCCTGGAAAGTCACTGGATCGGTGGAGTTTGGGTTTCCCCTGAACAAGGTCTTGATCCTTTTTGCCACAGAGACGTAAAAAGGCTCGAAGTGCAAGAGCTTGTCTCTGTAAGCGGAAACCAATCTCTCTAGAGGATGCCTGGTGAACATCACTTTAATGCTGCTGTTCAGAAGTTTCACTTGCTGATCAGAAGGGTAAGAACTTAACCTCCTTAAGAGATGTGTTCTGTGGACTCTATCATGATCTACTTCTAAGACATCCCTGCTCAGGTTGAGTGTGAGGAGGAGAATAATTTTTTTCCAGTTGGAACAGCCCACCTTTGGCACTTCACAGTAGATAAAGTTGTGACACTCGTCTACAAAGATCTGACCCGCAACTTGAGGGTTTGGTTTTCCTTTTGAGAAAGTATCTTTCTGGCAGATGGTGTCCAAAGAGGCTTTGCGATCTCGTTGCCTTCTCAGCCAATCTTCTTCAGGATCTACAGAAGGGAAATGTGACCTTTGACACCATGACCAGGGAGTGAAAATCAGTAACTCAAGGAGGGCCTTAAGGAGGTTAAACTGGCCTCAACCAGGGCCAAGGCCTTTTCAGCTGGTGGAACGCTCTATCACAGGAGACCAGGGCCCTGAGGGACTTGCTATCCTTCTGCAGGGCCTGCAAGATGGAGCTGTTCCGCCTGGCCTTCAGTCTGGGCCCAGTTTGAGCCCCCCTCTATGGGACCCAGTAAGTTACCTCTGTGGCCCTTTTATCGGCTCATGTGGGACCAACATGGATAGCTGGCCCTGATGAATACTTGAGGTTCCCAACTCCTAAGGTTGCAATTCATGGGCAGTCATTTAATTTTATCCTGATTCTAATTTTTAAGCTGTATTTTAATCAATTGTTTGATTGTGTTTTAATGTATTTGATATTTGATGTTAGCCACCCTGAGCCCGGTCTTGGCCGGGGAAGGCGGGGTATAAATAAAAAATTACTTACTTACTATTAAGAGTTTTGATCCATTTTCAACATTGTTATTCTGCCATTCTATAGGAAAATTTAAACCATGTAATAGAAAATCAGAACAACAAAACTAAGCATAACCATCCAATCTTCTGCTGTTTAAATATCTGGCAATCCTCACTCTTACCTCTTATTTCTGTCTGCCAACTATAGAGCGTCTGAAGAAGAAAAGCGCCAAGCAGACTACTGAGGAAGAGAATGAACAGCTTTTCAAGCAGGTTCTTCATAATGTTTTCCCAACAAGCCAAAGGCTGTAGCCTTTATGATGAACTCTAGGCAAACATAAATAGCAAACATTGTTACCGTTCGTTGAACCAAGAAATTAGCAACTGGTATAAAACACTTGCATTTCCCTACATTAACCGAGGTTTGTCCCTAAGAGATACTGCTGTATCTTTAGAGCAGGCATCCCCAAACTCAGCCCTTCAGATGTTTTGGGATTACAATTCCCATCATCCCTGATCACTGGTCCTGTTAGCTAGGGGTGACCGCTGGTCCTGTTAGCTTGGGAATTGTAGTCCCAAAACATCTGGAGGGCCAAGTTCGGGGATGCCTGCTTTAGAGGGTCTAGGCTGCGGAGGATACAGCCAATGAGTTTGCTTCAACTTTGGGTCCTCAGATGTTGTTGGACAACAATTCCCATCGTCCTTGACCATTGGCTAAGCTGCCTTATGTACGAACCATAGAATCAGTCAGTTGGAAGGGACTCCAAGGATCATCTAGTGCAACTCCCTGTAATTCGGGAATCTTTTTTGCTCAACATGAGGCTCGAATGCATGAACCTGAGTTCCCAGCCAGACCTGGCAGGGAATGATGGGAGTTTTTGTGCAACATCTGGAATGCAAGGTTGACAAACACTGGTTTACAGCTTACTTCTTTACAGGAGATCCATAGGAAGATTCAGCCATCCCTGTAGGGCCACTCCCTTGCCCATATCAGCAGAGAATTTTGGTTGGAAATTTGCAAGTTATATTTGCCCCAAGCAGCCAAGCTTCTCTGTAATAATAATAATAATAATAATAATAATAATAATAATAATAATAATAATAATAAATCTTTATTGTCATTGCCCCCTGTCGGGGACAACGAAATTACTTGGCTGCTCCATCCACCCAGGTAGGGCACTCCACACAAAATCAAAACAACTATAAAAACACTAATTAAAACAATACAGTATAATACAGCAAGGAAGATTAGATGACTTTCAAAGTCCAGGCTTCCCATTCAGGGCCGAGATCGCTCTGGAGAAGAAGCTGTTCTTAAGACGGCTTGTTCTTGTCTTCATTGTCCTGTATCTCCGTCCCGACGGCAGGAGCTCGAAGAGACAGTGACCAGGATGCGATGGATCTTTTACTATGTCCAGTGCCTTCCTATGGCACCTTGTGGCATAAATCTGCTCTAAGGTGGAGAGTGGGCAGCCAACAATGCTCTCTGCTGCCTTAACAACTCTGCACAACCCCATCCTGTCCTGGGTAGTACAGCTTCCGTACCACACACATAAGCCATAAGTGAGCACGCTCTCAATGGCACAGTGATAGAAGGCAAGCAGCAGTTTCTGCGGAAGATGGTTTTTCCTTAGAATTCTCAAAAAGTACAGTCTCTGCTGCGCCTTCTTCACAAGCCCCCTTGTGTTGACACTCCAGGACAGATCCTCTTGTAATTCAATGCCCAAAAATCTGAACGTTGTTACCCTCTCCACACAGACCCCATCAATCAAAAGTGGCTGGACATTGCTCTTCTGTCTCCTGAAGTCCACCACAAGCTCCTTTGTCTTCCTTGTATTTATCAGCAAGTTGTTAGCTCTGCACCACTCTGTCAGCCGCTCCACCTCATCTCTATAGTCCGTTTCACCCTCCCTTTCAGAGATGAGCCCAATCACGGTTGTGTCATCTGCAAATTTGACAACCCTATTACTAGGGTGAGCAGCGACACAATCGTACGTGTAGAGAATATAAAGGAGCGGACTGAGTACGCATCCCTGTGGTGTTCCTGTGTTAGTCTTAAGCATACTAGAAGTATAAGGGCCCAACCGAACCCTCTGGGGGTGGTCTGACAAAAAGTCCAATATCCACCCACAAAGTGTTATCTTACCTTCCTGGGCAAAACATAACCTTTTGGAGCCAAACCGCATGGAAGCGCATGAAATGGTGATAGAACTTTCCTCTCTGGCCACAGGGGGTGAGGCCAATCTGTGCATTCTTATTTCCCCCTTCATGCATTTGGGACCTTTAAGAAATGCTCCCTTCTCCAGGAAACATGGATGACCACAATGTTGATAGGGTTCTGCCACTAGGTGTAAAACTTGTTTTCTCTAGGAGCTTATCCACACTTGCATTTGCCTCACTGCTTTCCTCTGGGGAAACCTGCTGAATTGGAACAAATGGCAGTTGGGTTTCCATGGATTGCCATTTGTTCCAATTTAGTACTAAAGAGCAGACTTTATGGGGAGGCAGCAACGGGGCAAAGGTAAAACTGATAAACTATGGAACCGGGGAAGGGAGTAGGGGGAAGTCAACTCTACTTTTTTCTATGTTTGAATATGTATTGTTGCTTTTATTTTTGGAAAATTAATAAAATAATATTTAAAAAATAGACCGTGTTAATGATATTGCTGAAATAAGCATTATCTCAGCCAGAAATTAATTAATCCTGAATTAATATAAGAGCTTGCAGTGAGACATAGCAGTGCTGGAACATTAATGGCCTGATACAGTGCTTTTTTCTGGGGGTACACATGCCCCTAAACATTTTGTGAATCTTTGTACTTTTGTCCATTTACTGTATTTATTTTTCTTGATTTGAACTATAAAATGGTGAATTTCTTGAATCAAAATGAGAGTATCCCTAAACATGATTTTAGGAAGGGGGGGGGGAGCGCTGGCCTGATACTATGCATGTTTACTTGGAAGTAGGTATGCACCACCCATCCTGCATTGTCAATGATTACATAGGAGTGCTATGGTAGCGCAGGTAGGAAATCTTTGACCTGAGTCCTTGTCTTTTGCTATTCCTTGTCTGTTCCTGTGTCACTTCTAGAGGGCTGTTCCCAAGAGTATCCTGTAGGCTACGCAGAATATATTCAAATGCTTTCTAATTTACACCAATTAAGCATCTTCATTACCGGTAATTCAGTTAGTCATCTTAACCCTGTGCATTGAAACAGATCAGCAACTCTTTATAAAAAGAGGCACCATATTTTTCGCTCTATAAGACACACCAGACCACAAGACGCACCTAGTTTTTGGAGGAGGAAAACAAGAAAAAACATATTCTGAATCTCAGAAGCCAGAACAGCAAGAGAGATCGCTGCACAGTGAAAGCAGCAATCCCTCTTGCTGTTCTGGCTTCTGGGATAGCTGCGCAGCCTGCATTCGCTCCATAAGACGCACACACATTTCCCCTTACTTTTTAGGAGGGAAAAAGTGAGTCTTATAGAGCAAAAAATACGGTAACTTTACAGCTGCCATCCTGCAATATCTCCTTACAATAGCCACATTATATTACATGCAATGTTTTTAATGTGCAACAAATGTGAAAAGAGTTTGTAAGAAGTGTATATAAATCAAAAGCGCAAAATTTGGTTGCCTGGAATAGAGAATATAACGCATAAGACAGTTCCAGGTCCCTGCCTGTCTCTGTCTCCATCTCCACCACTACTCACCTTGCTCAGTTAAAGAACAAGCTCCTTCCTTTCATCAGATCCTCCAGTCAGCTTTCTGCAACATCAGTCAAACAGGCACCAAGGTCTCTGAGGGTTTCTTTTGTTTCATTCACAAACTCAGATCCCAGTGGATTAAGTTGAGCTTGGAGCTTTCCTACAGAGTTCCAGCTCACTTGGGGACAAGTTGCCACAGGCTCTTCCAGTACGATACAGAGCAAATACATTAAATTTATTGCATGCTGTCGTTCTGTGCTTCTTGGCCAGTTGCTACAAATATTGCACAAGACATTCCTTCCCACAAAAGGAGGGCCACTTGAAAATGCAGGACTGTCTGCAATGTTTTTCTGTCTCTCTCTCATACCCACACCCAGTGTAAAGACCTGAAGCTCCACCTCTTTCTGAATTATCGAGTTTGTAGGGCTTCAGTGCTACCCTCTGACAGGTTCATATTTACACAAGTGCTGTGTCGCAGGAGTGATGGAACTTGAGGTGTGGAAGTCTTTTTTTAAAAAAACAACCATCAGCATCTTGCTATGAACAAAAACAGCAACCAAGTCCCAAGCAACAGAAGCAACGGAAAGAAGTAGCACACAGTAAAGGGTAATTCGATATATTATTGCATTACCCAACCACAAAGGTAATATTCAGGCTACATTAGGAGGAGCAAACAAACCCCTCAGCATGCAATAGCCCCAAAGAATTAATATACAGTGGTACCTCAGGTTACATACACTTCAGGTTACAGACGCTTCAGGTTACAGATGCTGCTAACCCAGAAATAGTACCTCAGGTTAAGAACTTTGCTTCAGGATGAGAACAGAAATCGTGCTCCGGCGGCACGGCAGCAGCTGGAGGTCCCATTAGCTAAAGTGGTGGTTCAGGTTAAGAACAGTTTCAGGTTAAGAACGGACCTCCGGAACGAATTAAGTACTTAACCCGAAGTACTACTGTAGTCAGCATTTGGTCAGTGCAATCGTGACTGGAGAAGAAGGTACTGAAAAGCCTGCAGCATGGACCTATGACACACCTGAGGTCCAACAGAGAAGATCCACAGCTCAGGCTCCTCTGGGCCACCCTCGAACAATGCCCTCTGACAAGGAGGAGACAATACAGAGCGCAAAGTTAATGCATAGACTGCAGAGTGAATATCCACGTGGATATTTGTCTAATCCTCTTGTAAAGTCATCTAGCCGCCCATACTGGCTGAGGCAATCATCATCATCTAGGTTGGTTATCATCACTGCCTCCTGTGGAAGCAAATTCAGTAGTTCAACTATGCATGAAAAAGGACTTTCTTTTATCCATTCTGATGACATTCTACTTCATTGGATGTCCACAAGTTCCACCAGGGGAGATTCCCGCCCCCTCTATCCGCTTTCTCTACGCCATGAATAGTTTTATAAACTTGCATCATTCACTTCTTACTCACTTTTTTCCTAAATTAAAAAGTCCCAAATCCTGTAACCTTTCATCAGAGGGGAATTGCGCCATCCGCTCGATCAGGGCTTTTTTCAGCCCGAACCTGCCGGAACTCACTGGAGCTCTCAGGTGGGGGCCATTGCCATTCTCAGAGAACAAGGGAGGTGCTTACAGTGAGTTCCAGAACCCTTCCCCCCCCCTAGAAAAATAGCACTGCCCTTTTCTGGATCTTTTCCAGCTGTACAATATCTTTTTTGAGGTGAGGCAACCAGAACTGTACCTAATATTTGAAATGGGGTTGCACCTTAGATTTGTATAATGCTGTTATGATATCGGCAGTTTTCAGTTTCCTTCATTATGGTCCGCAACATGGAATTCCCCCTTTTTTATATAGCTGCCACACAATGGGTCAACATCTTCATCAAGCTATCTACTATGACCCCAAGCAGGGCCGGACTTTGGTCTTTCAAATTTCAGCAGTGCCCTGTCCAAGGCCATTTTTTTTTTGCCCCCTTGCCACTTGCCTTCCGTTCCGCTCAATTCACTACATCATAGTTGCAACGCCCTGCAGAACCCCTTTGGCTTAGAGTCCAGTGCAGCAGAAACCGGTTGCACGGCCCTAAATCTGCCTTTGACCCCAAGGTCTCATTCCTGGTCAGTTACCACCAGTTCAGACCCCACAAGCATATATGTGAAATAAAGATATATATATTTTTGCCCTGATGTGTATCTCTTTATATTTGTTTACACTAAATAACATTTGTCATTTTACCACTCATCTTGGAGAGATCTTTTTGGAGAGTTTCACAGGTGGTTGTTGTTGTTGTTGTTTAACAACCCTGAACAATTTAGTATCATCATCAGTTAATCATCAGTATCATCTTGGGTTGCTGGGAGGTGTCCACCCCCCAATGCAAACTGCAAACATGCCCCTGCCCCAACTTGCATTGGAACTGCAGGATGGGAGGTAAGGGTTAAAGTAAAGTATTGCACTTGGGCAAAAAAAATGAGAGGCACAAATACAAGATGGGTGACACCTGGCTTGAGAGCAGTACATGTGAAAAGGATCTAGGAGTCTTGGTTGACCACAAACTTGACATGAGCCAACAGTGTGGCGCGGCAGCTAAAAAAGCCAATGCAATTCTGGGCTGCATCAATAGGAGTATAGCATCTAGATCAAGGGAAGTAATAGTGCCACTGTATTCTGCTCTGGTCAGACCTCACCTGGAGTACTGTGTCCAGTTCTGGGCACCACAGTTTAAGAAGGACACTGACAAACTGGAACATGTCCAGAGGAGGGCAACCAAAATGGTCAAAGGCCTGGAAACGATGCCTTATGAGGAACGGCTAAGGGAGCTGGGCATGTTTAGCCTGGAGAAGAGGAGGTTAAGGGGTGATATGATAGCCATGTTCAAATATATAAAATGATGTCACATAGAGGAGGGAGAAAGGTTGTTTTCTGCTGCTCCAGAGAAGCGGACACAGAGCAATGGATCCAAACTACAAGAAAGAAGATTCCACCTAAACATTAGGAAGAACTTCCTGACAGTAAGAGCTGTTCGACAGTGGAATTTGCTGCCAAGGAGTGTGGTGGAGTCTCCTTCTTTGGAGGTCTTTAAGCAGAGGCTTGACAACCATATGTCAGGAGTGCTCTGATGGTGTTTCCTGCTTGGCAGGGGGTTGGACTCGATGGCCCTTGTGGTCTATTCCAACTCTATGATTCTAAGTTAAAGTCCTCCTAGGCCCATTCCAAGGTCCAAATCTGGATCAGGCCCCACACACTGCAAATTAGGAAAGAAAAAGTTTGCACTCAAGAGAAACCACAAGTCTCTCATGTAGTTTGGTTCTGATATATTTTCACTTCTGCTCACAAAGCTTCCATACTGGGCTGTCAGTCTTTCCAGCTATGGAACCTATCTTGCAGATATTGTGTGATCTTAGTCCTGCATGGAGAGGTGTGAAAGCAGCTATTTTGAGTATTTCCTGCCCAAGTTCTTCAGTCAGACGCATAGGGTGTCCTCCCTAACTGATCACGCCTTTAGCATGCTCTTTACCTTTCCTGAATTTCCCATGCCTCAATCTCACTGTTCTTTTGGGACTAGATGGGAACATTAGTTTGAGTAGCTTGAATAGAGGGGGAAATCTTAATGATGAAAGGTGATCCTATGCAGTGCTTTTTTTCTATAAAAAAATGTTTAGGGTTCCTGCAGCCAATGGGAAGCTGGCCAGTGTCGCAGAAGGCGTTTCTACTCCGCACTGGTTTAGCACAGTGCACAGGAGCCAACCAAGCGGGCTGCAGGGGTCCCCGAGCGAGCAGCGGGGCTCCATGGGCCAGTTAAATGGCCTTAGGTTGCCGACCCCTGGTGTGGACCTTCACCCCAAAAACACTTCCAAGGAAGGAGCTGCATTGAGATGTAACTCTGCCGAGTATGGATACTGGCACACACACACACAGCAAAAGTGATGCCGGACCCAATCCTTCTAAATCATCCATTGGAGGTTGATGGCTTGATCCAACACTAACCAGGGTTCTGCGTGATGGCACTTACAGGGCGACTTCCAGATAGGCATCAGACCCATGCTATCTCTATTATCTTTCCGGTACCTGTTGGTGCCAGAAGTCTATATTGGACTTGAAATGGTTTTTATATATCTTTTTACCGTCATATCACTTTAGGATCTTCTATGGGAAGTGACTGAAATAAACAATAAACAATAATACAGTGGTACCTCGGGTTACATATGCTTCAGGTTACATACACTTCAGGTTACAGACTCCGCTAACTCAGAAATATTACCTCGGGTTAAGAACTTTGCTTCAGGATGAGAACAGAAATCGTGCTCCAGCGGTGTGGCAGCAGCAGGAGGCCCCATTAGCTAAAGTGGTGCTTCAGGTTAAGAACAGTTTCAGGTTAAGAACAGACCTCTGGAACAAATTAAGTACTTAACCTAAGGCACCACTGTAAAGGAAAGCCGCATGAACAGCAGATCCACTCCCTCACAACAAATCTCTGGAAAAAAGGGCATCTTGTCCCCACGGCTTTAGTTTCAATGTCTCTCTCTCCTCCCTGCAGCCACCACCCCCGCTTCCCTCACACACAGAGAGACTTGTTCACCAGCCCCCACCCCTTAGCTTGGGAGGGAAAGGGTGCCTCTCCTTTCCCCAAGCTCCACTGAGGTGTTCTTCCCAAGTCTTCCAGAGAGACCACTGCATTAATATAACGTCTTCTGCCAATTAGTTCTCATAAAATAATCACTCCTTGGACATCCTGGACCATTAAGAAATATGTTCTTTTGTTGATTCCCAGACTGGGACCAGGTCTTGCTTTAAGCTGAACCCATGGTAATAGTACCATCCACAGTAGTCTCACAACTCTAATCTCACAACAGTAGAAAACATGCATATCCCTTACATTTTTTTCCTCTCACTGGATCCTCCACGAGTCCCACGCAGCACCGTTAATCTCGCCAGTTGTTTTATGGCTTCTGGAGAACTTTGCATGCTTCCAGTACTACAACTGCACTGAAACCAAGGTCCATGGGTGTGTACAAACGTACATAAAAAACAGGATTTGAGGTTATTATCCCTCCTGCTGACAAGGCCCAGCTTCTTCCAGTTTCTGACTCACATGCTTCCCAACAATCCCACCACAGATTCAGTCACCATTTTACCTCCCATTCAGGTTTCAAGGTGGGCTTTCTGCATTTTTAAAATAAAAGTGCTTCTTGTATAGCTGAGCAACGAAAAACTCATCTGAGGCTCATTTTTGAAAATGTACAAAACTACCAGAATCGTGGAGGGATTGGTTGTGCCAGAAAGCAGCTGTCCATCTGAGCTGTGCATAACTGACTCTTGCTGTAAACCGGCACATCTTGTTTTCCCCAGCCTCATTTGTAGAGAGGAAACTAATACCTAGAGAAAATATTTATTTCTAGAC